ATTTTTTCCTTTGTGTGATGTAAATGAATAAAAACAATTAAATAATAACTTATATTGCATATAATTTATTTGACATCCAAATATCACTTAAGCACCTATATTGCAAAATAACATTTCCAGTTTGTAACATTAGTATTTTAGAATACAAAAGAAAAAATTGCGTGTTGAAAAATGAGTTTTTTCATTGCATCTGGCAATCTTACATGCGTGTAACCCTTCCTAGTTGTCACGCATACAATAAATGAAAGGCGGTTTCATGTCGTTTATTGCGTATGCTCCATTCGTCTTTTGTTTTGTAATCGGAAGATAGAATAATAAATTTAAAAGCTGTTTCGGAGTATGAACTGACTGCAGAGCTAAGTAAAGTCGAGCTGCAGTTTCCACGACTATTTCTTTGTCGATCAACTTATGAATTTACTCCGTCTTTGAAGTTTCTCGTTCCCGCTCCACGTTAGACAAGCTCAGGTCAAATTATCTGTCAGGCGCGTGTTGTCAATCTTGAAGATCGACACCCTGAATAATGTTGTTGCAGTGGATACTCATATACTATTACAGTATAATTATATGCAGGATTTTGATCAAAGTGTTTTGTCTTTTTTTACTGTTTGGCTCAGCGGTTATCGCTGGTCGAGAATGCCTTATGACATTAAGTGCATTATGTAAATTGTTTTATGATGAAAACATGAAATACACAAATTTGTGCAAGAAGGGTTCATATTTGGTATTTGTGACTGTGACTGCCCGTCTGAAATCAGGTGATGTCAATTTTACATTTATTATTTAAAATTTCAGATGAATGCGTAGAAATAAGAAGCGATGCTAATCATGGTCCGAGCGCGTCCGACCTCTGCAGTTATCGAAACACAAAGTGGTATGATGACAGGCAAGGCTCATAACCTTGCCTCTCGTAGGGCATTCATTGTGCTGGTCAATTTAAATGAGAACGCGTCAAGTTATTGTAAAAGGCAGCGATCTTTGTACTTGGATATAATACAAGCAAACCCGAGATCGACAGCGCCACCACAGAGATTGCTTAAATGGAAGCGCAAACATCTCAGTCTAAGTGGTATTAAATTTCTTAGGGCAACGCTACAGTCGCCACCGCCGTGACGACACACTTGCTATTCTATTACAATTTCATGTCTTAGCCAGTGTGTTTCTTGTTACAAAGATTAACGGCTCTCGTACCAACCCGTTTTCTTGTTCATTATTCAATTATTTAGAATCGGAAATCGAACTTAAATTACACGTTTGTATTATGAAAATATGAATGTCTGCGTAAACACAGTCAACGGGGAAGACAAAATAATACACAAGTAACGATGTGTAAATACTGTGTTATAATGTTTCCATACACCTAGTGATAGGTACGAATACGTTGTAGTCGGATTATTGGCCGATGTCCAACAAATTCATACAATATTAGGTGGAATTACTAAATGCCAGCAGATACCCGATAATTCCGAATGTGATTGTATATTGTGTTATGTAACTTTGGTGCCCAATACAGCAGGAGCAGAGAACACATAAGTAACGAGAACGGACACTATCCGTCCCTCCCTAGCTTTAGATACCGCACCACGCCCCACACATTGCCGGTCACATCGACTGAACGACGACGAGGCTGTTGGCGCGCCGTTTTCGCGCTAAGTTTTCATTTATTCATTACGAAATGTGTACGTTAATATATAACATTATTTTACGTTACTATTTATAAAGGTCGTGAATTGTGCTGTGTACGGCTCTAAACAAATCATCATCTAAACGGGATAAAGAGAGGAGTTTCTTTCGTCTTTTCGAAAGATGAAACGAAGTAAGTAAAAAAACTTATGTCTGAGACTCATTCAATTATTGTTTTCTCTAGTGCTGAGTAATATATAATACTGATTTATAATATCAATATAATACGACGCCATAACTTCGTGCGCTAGACAAGGGCTCTCGAATTTTCAATTGTATTGCCGATAAATATTACGTAGTGAATATACCTAATTATGAACTAGGTAATGATAAACTTGGACACGCGATTTCAAATACGTTGGTTACTTTATTTAAAGGTACCTGTCCAAAATATAACATTTTAAGTGCTTTTAATATATTTTTTAAATAAATCTTCAATATTATTCTAGTTAGTGAATTAATGAAAAATATAATATTATATCGATATAAATACCTACGTAATGAACATGTGTAATTATTAGGATTCTATCGAGTTCTTAGGTTTTCGCGATTGTTAAACATAGGAAATGAAACTATTTTTCCGGATTTAAATCGCGTATATTTGTTACTGACTGACGGTCAGTCAACCGTGACCATGGGACCTGTAAAGGGCCTGAAACGACGGTTTGTTTGAAAAAAAAAAAATATATACGCGATTTAAATCCAGAAATAGTTTCATTTCCTATTAGGATTCTATTATAGAATTATAGATAACAGATTCGCGTTAGAATTTTCGCTATTGTTGCCGCTCTAACCACGTAATGTAATAGTACGAGAAAGTGATGGGCAACTCTGCCACTTCATGCACACATTTGCGCGTGTGCAGATAGCGCATTGCTGTATGTAGTAATAGTAGTAGGTACATAATTTTCGACCGTTGTATGGAGTGTCCGGGGTGTGGCAGGAGATCCAAACCCGAGTCGATTTGAAAACGCCTAGAACCTACCGGGAATAGAAAACGGGATGGTTCTCGTCATGCCCAGATAGTATCGCTCTCCAAAACGCTTTTAGTCATTGTATTTTATTGAGCTTCGTTTCCAATTGCTTCGGGAACACACTCGACCTCAATCTGAAATTGAAGCGCAATATAAAAAAAAATATATTTTTTATTGCGCTTCAATTTCAGATGCAGTACACCATAATTATCAAATTAGCATAGAACATTTTCAATGCGTAGATAATAAACTCAACTAGTATACATTTATTAGTGGAGCAGGAATCTTTTAACGATTTCTGATAATCTAACTAATCGCAAGAAATAACTTGCAATTGGGCTCACAGGAACCGGTCAAGCAGTACACCTGACACATACCGGGCGCGATGATTAATTGGATTGGATTGGTCGATCTGATTAACCCACTGGCTTAATAGCCTAATTATAAGTCGCTAAGTCGCTTTTCCCGACTCTAAGAGCCCATGCACACGGCGTATTTGACACGCGCCGACGACGCGCAGTTAAGAAATGAAAAACGCATATATATGTATACGCGCTGCAGACGTTTCAAACGGGCGTACGTATCGAGCATTTTTAAGAGATACTTTTAATTTTAGTTTTATTCTAATTTCATTTAGTTTCTTCTATTAAAAAAATACAAAAGCTACGTATTTTTAAACATATCCTGAAATATATTTTAAGAGAAATCACTTAGTAACTCTACTAAATTATTAGGTACTATTCGTTTTTGGGTGTTTATTTTGCATGCGTAGCACTAGACACTAAGTGTGACAAGGATAAAAACAGCAAAACTTGTCTTTTATATAAGCTTGTTGCTTGCAAGACGATCTTTGCGCGCATTTCAATCGGTACAAACGCAACAATCTGCTTTATGAGCCTCTGCTGCGCCACGTATAAAATACGTCGTGTGCATAGGCTCTTAGGCTCTGGAAACGTCTAACCTCGTTTAGTTGTATGTACATACAATGTTAAAGTAATGTAACTTAAAATCCCATGAACACTAATACTATCTGCGCAAAAGCAAGCAATGTCTAATTTCTTTTTTTTTTAATAAATATAAGTGCGCATTTGACCTCCATCTCCCCTGATGGAAAATGATGAATGATGAGTTGTAATATAGTGCAATGCTATACGACTGGGTTGCCGTTCCAGTAATAGGGCTATTACTATAAAACCATTTGTGACAATTGTAAAAGTCGTATACGTTGGGCATAACTAATTTGGTAGGCAAAGACAGTCTCAGCACAGTGTGCTCAAATGAAGCAGCGGCGGTGCTGCAGAGCGCTCTTGTCCACACTATACACGCCAATTACGCGGCTGCGGATTTTATACTAAGCGCTACTCGCACGGGTGAAACTCAATTTGTTCTCAGTTGCTGTGAATTAATAATGTTTCCACTTCTTATGCTCTTAAAGTTCGTAATTACACTGGGAGCAGGCTGCATAAAATAGGATTTTATGTTCGAGTGCATAAAATAAAATCGTCGTTTAAGACCGAGGCAGTGACGCCTGCGCTAACAGCCACGCACACTAGAACTTTATAAAATAAAGTACAAGAAAATCCCGTAACTTTGGAGGCATCTCAAGTTCATAATAAAATACAAAGTAATACACTGAATATGCCAGGAAAAACCATCACATTAAATATGTCTAATTGTTGTAATTTTACATTCAATTTTAATTAAATAATCGTTTATTTGTATAATTGCTGTTTAATTTCCTCGCAATCGAAGTGAAAAGCAGAGTGTATAACTCGTTCATAAAACCCATTTAAAAATGACGCGTTTTATGCACTTGTAGTACAATCTACTATTAACGTGTAACATGATTCCATAAGAGTAGTGTGCAGTAGCGATGGAACAGACTTTTTTTTAAAGTAACGAAATACTACTCATTCTTAAGTTGATAACAAATATTTTGGTACGCATTTGAATGTACGAGTCGTCTTTCAATGAACTCAACAACAGTTGTGCGTTTAGACAGACTTATTCGCATGATCGGTTTTAATTAGCACTTTTAGGAGCTAGATGTGTTTGGTGCAAAGTGTGCAGTGCTTCATGACAACTGTAAGGCGCCGAAATCGCGTCGCGCGTCTCCGTCGATTCACATCGACCGAACCGAACAGTTTATTTTCTCAGACGGAAAAAGATTTACTGTACTTTCAAGTGGTTATGCCTCCTAACTAAAACATTATTCTGCTTTCAGAAAAATGTTTGCTATGCGGCTTACTTCGAGTACTTTTACCTCAGCCAACGAGGTTCCGGCCAGGGCGTAGGCCTGCCCTGAATGGTTCAGAGCTCCAAAGAATAATTCCCATATAAACTCACCTAAAACTTCTTCGCAGGGTTGGCTTAGCGGCCGTCTCGATGGGGAAGTCTTCTGTTGCGGATGATGCTGCGGCTGAGGCTTCAGTACATGCGCGGGGACTGCGCCTTCCTGCGGGGGCTCTCCGGGAACCCTTACCACCCACCAGTCGGGTCTTCCCTGACACGACTCTACGACTTCTACTTGCTGTCCTTTTGTGACTGTCAATTCGCCGTTACCGCTCGCCGTGTGCTCCGCTACCACCCACGTCATTTCCGCCTGGAAAACGGTTACAATTTTAGCTCTTTCACTATTGAGAGTCGAAATTATCGGGTAATAAATATGAGATTACAATATTATTTGTGACCACTTTTCAGTCTACACAATAATAATAAACAATTTTGGTAAACTGGCAAAACGATAAAAAAGACGTACAGTCTATGTCCCAACATGTCTGATCATTTCATTCTGAGAGCATCTTACGCATTCGATCGAAACTTAAAGGAATTTTAACTTTACTATTTATAATATAAAAAAAAATTTAAAGCCAATACTGAATAACAATACAAGTTGGTCTAGATGCACGGCAAGTTACACTGTTGGTGGTTCAGTTTAGTCTATGATGTTTTAGCATGTTTATTTACTGCAATTCCGTATAATTATACAAAAATTCAGCCAGTCAAACACAATTTTGGGGTGATCGAGAGGAGCCTCGCAGTAACGACGAGCTCCCTGCACGTCTATCGCGCTCTAGGCAACAATCGACTCCCAGATACTCATCTGTACGCCGATTGGCAAATATACCATATACCATGAAAGGTAATAATAATAATAACGTACGCACACATAGCCCCGCAATAGGGAAACCCTGTATAGCGGTTGCCATGGACATACAAATAGATAACACAAATTACACTCAAATCACGAGAGGAATACGTGAAGACCAAACAAATATTTCTCCCGGTCCGGGAATCGAACCCGGGACCCCTGAGTGGCAAACGAGAGTGGTAATTGTTCGGCCACGGAGGTAGCCTAATAATAATAATTTATTGTTACAAAAAGTATTTACATTTCGCTTGAGAATAGGTGTCTATCTGAGCTTCAGCCAGCAGGTAGACCGCTGTTGGTAGTTTTAACATGTAATTACAATTTAGGATAATAAAATATTTGTTAGATTGCCTATAAAATTCTATTTTCGACATTACGCCTCACTGCTGTAGAGATCGTTCTACAAGACAATGTAGAGTCATTCAGAGTTATCTATCTCGGATTATGCTTCAGCGGTGATAACATCTCAATTATTAGAAACGTAGTTTTTGTGTGCAAATCAATTCTTTGTATTTGATTGAAGGGACTTCCATTCAAGTAGACTTATTTCCTGTACATGGTGTAGAGCACCATCGAGTTGCGGCACTGGCAAGAGTCATTACGAATTTCATGACCACTTCTTGGCAACACAGACAGATTTCAAAATACCTACGGCTCAACTTGACTACTAAATTTTGTAGCAATAGAGCTACGTCCGGAGAGAGTTCGTCCAGGGAAGTACTGTCACCTTGCCTATTTCTGCCGCCAAGCAGTAATTGGAGATGTTCCGGTTTTGAAGGGCACGGGTGCTAGGATATGGGACTTGTCAACTCATGTCTCAGGGTGACAGGCGTAGTGACAGTGCCCCACAGATCTTTGCGATTTAAAGCTCAGAGTGGCACTGCACCTGTTATGGACAGGGTTGTAGCTTTCCACCAGTCACACGACTTGTTCGTCCCGTCCCTTGATAGTATAAAAAGGAGCCAAAAAAATATTTAGGTAAACCTAAGTGAATACCCACAATGCATGTAAATGTAGATGCGCAGTGCTATGTTTGGCTATATGAAAGATGAACGGCTACACACGCCACAGTACGGCTCACCCGTGCTACATCTTGCTGCGCTTGCCCCGACACGTAAAACAATATGTATATTGTTGCAAAAATATGTACGTCAACTAACTAAAGTTGACATGTGACTAACACGCCTGTTACGAGTGGTTCAGTTTACCTTATTCGCTGTAATATTGGCGCTTAAATCGATGGTCATTCTCGACGAGCCGATAGATAAGCGTATAGGCGATAGGAGATAAGGCCACCGACAACAATGCACATTTGATAAGATAAACGACACTAATGTCGCACTCGCGCTCTTTCCAAACGTAGTCAATACAACGTTTACAAACTACCGACTACCATAACCACAAATTGAATTACGAGAGTGGATTGAAAATTTCGCTGCTTAACGAATAAAACAAAGTTAAATATTTACGAAAATATTTTTCTTTTTCGACGTCATCTCCATATAGCTCTATGCATTCCATTCACCTTTTATCCAAATCTTCTACACCAATTTTAAAAAATCTTCAAGGACTTCAAAATACCCATTTAATGTTGCTTCGACATCATCATTCGATGAAATTTTCTGACTAGTGAGGTGTTTTTTTTATGTTTGGGAAAAGATGAACATCAGAAAGTGCTAAATCAAAATAATAAGCCAAGTGGGGCAGTCATTCGAAGCCACAATAAGGAATTTTAACCATAGGTTCGACAGAAGCGTGCTCGAGTATTGTCCTGATGAAACAACACTTTTATCCCGAGTAATCCTGAGCGTTTCCCTTTAATTTGTTCGCGCAAACGACGCAGAAGATCTCGTCCTTCAGCAGGCAGTGGACCATGACGACCCCCTTAGCGTCCTAAGAAAGTGACGCCATCAACTTGCCAGCCGCCAAAACTGTTTTCGTTTTCCTTGGGGTTGGTTCAACAGGTTTCTCAATTTTTTAAATCGCTGACTTAAGTCCCACGAAACTCGCTCTAATTTCAAAACTACAAATATAATACCAATAAAACTTTACATTGTGACTGCCAACGAATTTATGAATTAATCGAGAGCACTATGAAAAAAATATAATAACTACTTCTATGTGAGGCCGCGAAGTTTTCAATCTTCTCTCGTATATTCAGGGACAAAAACATTTCAATAAAATCTTAATAGGTTTGTAAATGCAAAACTTGTAACATTTGCACAATCCCACCTAGTCTCAATGAACTCGAGGTGAACTTTTTCTGAAACCGTAACGCTCATAAATTGTAGCACTCAGATTCCTACCTATCGACGACAAATGACCTTGGACGGTTTTGGATGTGAACACATTATTGACCTTATGCGTTAAGCATAAAATATTTAACGCTGACCGTACATAGTCCATAACAGTGTCGACGGGTAACGTGGCGCTTTGGGATTACACTCAAATGAACGCTCGTTCGTACTTAAACAATAAAAACAGGACAAATTATTTTGTTAAGCTATCCAAAAATGATTTGTTGTTTGGAACGTCGGTTATCTTGGCATCGCCATGTCCGATAGCGCTGTCCTGCCCTGTCACAATCTATATCAATAATCTAATCGACGCCGACGTGAGTGAATGCTGTTTTAGTGTAATTGCCACTTTTATAGTTAGATTTGCAAGAAACATGCAAATTTCTGACATACACTAGCATTACAGTGAGTTATTAACCTACCATTAACATAATAAATGAGAAAGTGTGGATGAACGGATGGACGGATGGACGGATGGACGGATGGACGGATGTCCGTACTCAGCCACGTCGAAACTGATAAGCGAATACATTTCAAAGTAGTATAGTTTGCAATCTGAATTAGCGCGTAGGACGTTTTTGTATCCTCACTTCGAAAGTCAATTCTATCAATAGACTAAGTAAAGAAGGATACTTATAGGACAGATAAACAAAACTGTGTCCTTACAGACTAAGCCTTCTGAGTGTTCTATGCCTTGCCTTTGCTTTGGTTTTACAAAATGTGATATTTATGGGTTTCTTGCTGTATTTTCCAGTTTCGAGTAACGTAAATACAAGAATGTACTCGTGCGCCAGATTAGGGAGTCACCAAACTTAATTACGCGGAATCGTCTTGATGCCATCGTGTTTAACCACACTTGTCACATTAAGGCGATTCGCCGTTGACGGGGCCGTTCGCGCGCGCCGTCGCGCTAATTGTTTCGAAACCAGGATTAGCTGTCGTCGGCATGCGTACGGACGCGATCGGAAATTCGCAGGAAGCAGATTCGTTGCCGACCTGTGTCCAGCTGCGTTCGTACGAATGGATGCGAAACTCTTACGTTCATAGACATAAAGCTTTTTCAGACCGGCTCAATGGTGTGAGACAGAGAACACTCGCTTCGTCCTGCAAGCAGGTACTGCTACAGGTAATAGTTTTCCACTGTCATTCACATCGTCATATTATTTGAATGTTTTACATAATTTGCTCCTTTAGGTTATTATTAATTGTGTTAGCTTTCCATTAATTCGTACATAAGCAAATTTACCGTCGTAATTTCATATTACACTTAGTAAACATAACTACGCACTACCATACAAATTTCCGAACGAACTCGCCAACCCGATCAAATTACATTAGCCAACTGTCCTTATCGTTTGACACAAGAAAACGTATATATGCTATACAGTTATATTACAATTTCTATTACAGTATCTTTATTTTATTCTGCCAAATAAAAGACGCCAACGAGCGGCCGACGACATCTTTGTTGTATATTTTTAACTGACTTCGAAAAAAGGAGGAGATTCTCAAATCGACGGTTTTTTTGTATGTATGTTACGCGATAACTCCGGTATTTGTGTAACCGATTTTCATGATTCTTTTTTGTTGGAAAGAGGGTGCCTCCATAGCCGTCCCATTTCATTTTGAAGAAAACCATCCACACCTAAGGGTGGCTGATCACGCGTGAACATTCATTTTTATACATAGCGCCTAAATTTTATTTGAGGAGCAATTATTTGAATGGTTGGTTTTGTTATTCTCCAATTCAAGGCGTTTTTCTCTCTCATTATACTTTGAGTAGTGAGAACCGATTTTTATTACCTCCTGTGTCAAGTCCTGTATAGTGGCGAACTAGGGGATATTTCAATAAAACTTAGCAAATAGATGTAATTCCACGTACTTTTGATGTTAGTTTTTTTAGTACTCTGTACTGAGATTATGTTAACAAAGAGACGTCAAGCATTTCGATATACAACAGTCAAGTCAAGTTCTTTTAAAATTCATGTTTTGTCAGTCACCTCTACCCTTTTCACCCGTACATACATACATACTTACGTGAAATAAGCAAATTGACAAAACTAGGTTTCTTTCGTTCAATGGGCACAAAGAACACGAAACATTCTGTTCATTCCATTGGCGCATCGGTATATCTTTATTACTTTTCTGTTGTTC